GATAGCTTATTAGACATAGTTTTATTATAACCTTATACATGGAAGAGCAGTATCCCTAATCAAGTCTTCATTTTACATTAGTGTAGCTGAGGCCACAAACAAGGTGACTTGCGTACGATTACTCAACCAGGAAAAGCAGGTGAGAATGTATCTTTGTTTTACTGCCAGAGGGTGTGTGTGCTCAAAAGATGGAGACAGAGGGAGAAGGAGAGGAAAAAGCACCCCCTGGTGAGGCATGCTCACACTGCGATCTCTTTTTCTCTGTTTCTCTGCCCTATCAGGATTTGGGGCACACATGAACATGAGCCTATGTGTTTTTCAAGTTGCAGGGGCCAGGATTTGAGCCATGATGGGCATGTGATATCTGGCTCCCATAACCGCTAGGCTACAGGGCCGCCCTGAGAACCTACTGTGATCTTGAGATGGCATGGGTTTGCAGCCTCAGTTTATTCAGCACTTACTTATTTAGTGTCTAGTAAGTGCCAACCACTGGGCACTCTCACTGTGTGAGGTCGTCTGCTGGACTCGGTGCATCTAGTGGGATGAGGTCAGCAGGCAGCATTTCCTGTCCTCATGAACCTTATGGACTGCTGGGTCCGGGACTCAAACCATGGTAGACTACATGGGAGTCTAGGAACGGAAGCATTTCGCCATCTGCTGGTCCCATGGCCTACTGGAAAATACAGTCAAGCAAACAGATCATTTTAAAACAGACGAGGAGGTAAAGTAAAAAGAACTGTGGAAAGACAGTTAACATGTGCCCATCTTGGAGCTGGGGGTCAAGCAAGTGACTTGGAAGAGGAGGTCAGAATGTGAACTGGCACAGCCAGGTTTGGGGACTGGGGCAGGGGTGTTGGAGAGCGGGTGTGGGGGAGGCAGACAAGTATATTCTGTACTTTCCACAGAGAACAAACATTTACAACAGATGCAGGAGAGAGAAATGAGTTTGTGGAAATTGGGGAGTCTTTTTTCTTTTTTCTTTTTTTGCTATAGGGTGCGTGCACTCGCCAGAAAGACAGAGAGAGGCAAAAAGCGAGAGATCTAGAGATCTCCCCCCATGGGGGATGGCCATGCTGCAATCCCTTCTCCTCCATTTTCCTCTCGAGATCCTGCGCACGCACGCACATGCACCCAGCATGAGTTTAAGCCACCAAGTCCGGGACTCGAACCGCAGTCAACTTCATGGGAGTCCAGCCACATAGCCATTACGCTAACTGCTGGTCCCAACATTTTGTTACTTTTTTTGGTGTGAGTATCTCACTCACTTTATACACACTCCATTCTCATTCCTCAACCTCTAGGCTCTGGGACTGGCCCTCTTGTTTCTTCTTATGATCTGTTCTAAAGTTTGCAATCTTGTAAGTTTTATTGCCTCCTCACTGTTAAAATTGCATTAGTTGCATCTGAGTTGTTTTAGGTTCTTTTTTCAATTTAAAGATAAGTATACATGTATGAATATCTGTATTTATATAGCAATTCCAGCCAAAAGGTCCCCCCCCCAATTTCTTTTCAAGAGTTACTTTATTTATTAGTATTATTTTTTAAAATTTTATCAGAGAGAGACAATGAGAGAAAAAGTAAGAAAGCAAGTCACTAAGTCTGAGACTCAAACTCCAGTTGGCCATTGTGGGAGGGAGTCCCGTGCCTTAACCACCACACCACCTGTGGCCCTAGATGCCCAATTGTGTGGTCTGAATAACTGACCCAGTGGTGGCATCTTTGCCAAAGTTACAGAAGACAGCAAGTCTGGTGTGAAAGAGAGAGGTCAGTTGCTTATGGTGGGTTTCAGATGATGCTTGTGAACACCCAGCTGGAGGTGTCACGTTAGAAGGTAGAAACAGGTTTATCAGGAATCATTGCTGTGTGGAGAGACGAGGAGGGAAGCCATAAGGGCCCGTGAGATCCCGAGCTCCTGGGGAAGTTGGAGACTGTCATCTGCGTGCAGCTCCTCGTTTGGGTCTCTTGAGCACGGTCACACCTTCATTCACATGCACAATGACCCACACACCTGGCAAGAGTTTCAAGCCGTCAGGTCCGGGACTTGAACTGCAGTTGACAATGTGGGAGTCCAGTGATGTAAACTCCACATCATCTGCTGGCCCTGGTCTCATGTATTTTGTCACTTGATGTCATCTTAGAGAGCCACTCCATGGGTTACTGTCTCTGCCACCACTCACACCTCTCCCAACACTGGGTTACTGAAGGTGAAGAAAGAGTGGTGGGGAAAGCAGAAGAAAGGACCTGTCCCACGTTCTGGATGTCAAAGACCTGCTGACAGGGCAGACAGCAGGTGCCCTGACATTTTCAGAGGGGGTGTTCTGTCTGGTTGTTATTAGTAAACAGCTATCTGCTTAAGTTCTCAGAGTCATGGTGAGAATTCGACATGTCTATTTCATCTGTCCTTTTGGCACAGTGACACATTTAACTTCATAGTGTTTAGAAAAAGGTTGTTAGTAAACTAAAGTTTATTATTGCTTTTTTTTTTTGGGAGAGATTTTTGCTACAGGGTGCGTGCGCTCGCCAGACAGACAGAGAGAGACATAGAGACAGAAAGCAAGAAATCACCCCCCAGGGGGGATGGTCACGCCGCAATCCCTTCTCCTCCATTCTCCTCTTGGGATCTTGGGCACGCATGCACACGTGCCTGGCGTGAGTTTTAAGCCACCGGGTCTGGGACGCGAACCGCGGTCGACTACGTGGGAGTCCAGTGACATAGCCGTTACGCTAACTGCTGGTTCCCAGTTTATTATTGCTTTTTGAAAGCTGAAAATACTCCCCAAAGGCTATAGTTTTATTTCATAAGCCACTTAATGAGGAATCAGAAGACTTGATTGAATCACAATAATAGCTTACCACTTCTTTGAATTTCCAAAGTCCTTGGCAGTATGTGTACAACCTTCCTCCTCCCCTCCCCCCACACACTTACTTCAGTTTATTTCATGAGTGATAGAAATAGAGCCAGGGCCAGCAGGTGGCATGGTGGTTAAGGCACTCTACTCTCACATGCCTGACTGCCGTTCGAGTCCTGGACCTGGCAGCTTGCTTTTTCACATTCTCTCTCTCTCTCTCTCTCTGATGAGTGTGTGTTGACTGCAGAAAAAGTTTAAAAACAATAATAAAAACAAAATTGAAAAAAAAATAAAGACTAGTACCCTCAGGTTGTGGTCTCATGCACGGTCTCCCCCCCTCCCCCAGGCCTTTTAGCCAGGTACATGGGCATGTGCGTGCATCCTGTGTGTAGAGGTCAACTAGGAACTGAACCCCAATTTTCTTATGGCACCCAGCACTGCAGGGCGTTGGTGTACTGGTGCACCACGGCAGCTAAGCCAGACGTCGTTAATATATTACGTGGTTCATTTTACGGAAGAAGAAACAAAAGGTATGATGTTCTGAGCGACATCATACGTATTCTTCGGTTTGTTTGTTGATTTAGGTTTTCATCTGTAGTTTCTGGCTCAGAACTATTTGGCCTTTTATCCTTGGTTCCTGAAGCTTCCTAAGGCAGGCCATAGGCATGAAGGTCACAGAGACATGAAGACCCTCGTTCTAGAGGGGTGAGCAGTGTACCTGGAAGGAGGATTACTGCACAGGGAGAACAGAAGGACCCCACAGACCTTGCCAGCTCACCCCACTCCGTCCATTAGCATGAAGGACGTCCTCCTTGTCCAGTCCCACGTTGCTGTGGTCGTCTAGGCTTTACTATCGCCTGTGCGATGAAGTCCCCATAAAAACCCCATGAGAACAGGGCTTGGAGAACTGGACAGCCAGACCTGAGGGGGCCTGCGGGAAGGTGAACACGAACTCACCCACGAGGTGTACCCAGCTCCACCTGGATGGAAGCGCTTGGGCCCTGGCCCTTCAGGACTTTGCCCTTTGTATCTCTTCAAGTGGAATTTGTTCTTATCCTTTAAAATATTCTTTCTAGGGCCAATTCTAGGGCATTGGACTCCTACATGGCTGCCTGTGGTTTGGTCCCAGACCCAGCAGCTTGAAAATCACACTGAACGCATGTGCATGTGTGCCCCAAATCCCAGGAGAATGAAGAAGGGATTGCTGTGTGGCCATGCCCCCTGGGGGATGATTGCTCCCTTTCCTTCCCTCCCTCTCTCTGGCTAGCGCATGTGCCCTATGGCAAAACCTTAAAAAAATCATTTCTAATAAAACTATAAACACAACCAAGTGTTTGCTGGAGTTATTGAACCACTCAAAGAAATTAATTGAGCCCAAAGAGGGGGTCATAGGTACCCCAAACTGTGGTAGGTTGGTTAGACGTTTGAAAGGCCCAGACTTGTGACTGGCATCTGACGTGTGGCGGGGCAGTGTTGTGAAACTGAGCCCTCAGTCTGTGGGCTCTGACGCTGGCTCCTGGAAGAGGGTGTCAGAATTGAGTAGGATGAGAGACACCAGTTGTTGCCTGGCTGTAGGGAGAAACCCCCGTACGTGGGGTCGCAGAAGGGGCACACTGTGAAGGGCTAGTGAGAGAAACTGAGTTGACATTGGTTTCCCCGTACGAGGGGTGATAGAACTTGCCAACGTGGGGACCAGATGGGGCTCCTAAAATGAAATGTTCTGTGAGGAAATCCTCATGGGCAGGTCCTGGATTCACACCTGGAGACATCACTGAGTAGGCCGGGGACATGTATCTCCATCCAGGGCTATCGAAGCTGAAGATGGATCCTCATGGGGGGGGTGGGAGGGTTATTGTGTCTGTGTCTCTCATGGGATAAATAATCTTGGGAGAGAAAAAAGCTTGCCAAAGCTTTGGAGCTAGTAAGGACTGAGTTCGGGGTTCCTCAGCACGCTGAATGCTGCAGTGTTTTCATTCCCAGGACCATTGCTGGCCCGACGCTCTGCTCAGCACTCTCTCTTCTTGGTTCGTCCCTTGTGAATATTCTCTTTCCTCTGCCCCAGTTCGACTCTCTTGCTGCACTTTCTCTCTCGGAACCACCCTCCCGAGGCATGTGTGTGTTTAGCACTCTCCTGAAGGTCATAGATTGGGCATGGACTGTGAAGGGGAAGGGGAGGACAGAGGTGTGGCTATTACAGCAGAGCAGTTACTTCAAAATGGACTATTCGACCACATCTCTGTTCTTCACATTGCTGGGGCCACTGTAACCCAGGAAATAATTTTTTTTTTTTTTTTTTCTTTTTTTGGAGAGGGTTTTGCTATAGGGCATGTGCACTCGCCAGAAAGACAGAGACAGACAGAGAGACTGAAAATGAGAAATCACCCCCCAAGGGGCATGGCCATGCCGCAATCCCTTCTCCTCCATTCTCCTCTCGGGATCTTGGGCACGCATGCACCTGGCATGAATTTAACCCATCAGGTCCGGGACTCGAACCACAGTTGACTACATGGGAGTCCAGCGACATAGCCATTATGCTAACTGCTGGGGGTCCCAACCCAGGAAATTGTGTAGCATTCACTTTTATATCAAAGCCCAGAGGTTCCATCACCCCCAGCATGTACTGCTCCTGTACACACACTCTTAGAAGGCAGCTTCAGGTTTAAGTGAGGATTTTCTTTTTTTAAAGTCCCACCACCAAAGCAAATGCTTTTGATGATAATTTACCTATCAGTAACATAGAAATGATAATGTCTATTTAACCTTATCAAAGGTTGTCTTTGTGGTCTCTCAAGAATCTAGTAAGTTACAGCAGTCAGTCTTTAAGAAAATACAGAATGCTACGCTGGTGTGAGGTAAAATGCTATGCTTTTATGATGCTTTACAGTCAAATCCAAAAAGGAACTGAGCAACTGATCAGAATGTAGGTGGAAATAACACCGTGTTCTCCCAGCGAAGTAGCCAAGCAGTCAATATTTAATTTTTTCAGTAAATTTCTGCTTTAGAAACTGTATGTTGTCCTTTCGTTTCTTTTGTTTAAATTAATCTTTTATATTGATAGGTTTTTTTTAGCAAAGATAATGGAAATTTCCTAACAAGGAAGTATAATAATGCTTGGATATTCAAAATGAGTTCGTAGTTGTTTCTTTGTCTCAGATTTTGTAACTGAGCTTTGACACACTAAGCAATAAGTAAGTGCATTGGCAAGCATGTGCTGTTTAGAGACTTCATCCTGCAAAGTGATTCTCCTTTTTCTTTAATTTTAGGAAACAGATATTGATGACAGATATGGAGACTTGGATTGCAGAACAGATTCTGATATTCCAGAAATTCCACCAGCCCCGGATAGAACCCCTGAAATTCTCAAGAAAGCTCTCTCTGGCTTATCTTCAAGGTATGATCAGATGAAGATAATTACATCTGGGTGTTCAGGGGGCTATGAGGTTGTCCTTCTCCATGTCATAAATCTGATTTTTTTGCAAGTTTTGGAATTACAAGAAAGAAAACTTATATAAATTTTTTAAAAAGAATTATTTAATTTTATTTTTTATTTTTAATTTGACCAGAGAGAGAGACAGAGAGACAGAGAGAGGGAAAGTGAGAAACCCTCCAAGAGGATGGCCATACTGCCATTTGAGAAAGAGTGAGAGAAGTTGCCAAGTCCAGGACTCAAACCACGGTTGGGCATAGGGAAGTCCAGCACCTTAACCACTGGTGACACCACCTGCTGGCCCCAAGGGTTATATACTTTTTAACCTTCTGTTGTGTGAGACATGCTCCAAAGTGCTTGATATGTATGTATGTATGTGTGCGTGTGTATATGTGTATATACATACATATACATATATGGCCTTTCATTTAGTCTTTCGAACCTTGTGAATAGGAGAAAAACAGGCCTGAGAGGTTAACTGGTGACGTTTACATGACTAAGAACCTTATGAAATAGGAGAAAAACAGGTTTGAGAGGTTAACTGGTGACGTTTACATGACTAGTAAAGCATGGATCTGGGTTCTTGTCCTGGGACTATCAGATTCTGCAGCCACTGACCTGTTTCCCACATTGAGTTCCTTTTCTGGTGTTAGAACCACTATTAAATTCCTTATCATTTGTCCTCTCTTTTTAAATGCCAGACAGAAATGGCTGACTTTTTCTTTTAACTAAATTTTAAATTATTGCCTAAAATTTCACCTTTTACTCTTTTGTGCTATATTTTTTAGATGACCACAGAATTTTAGCTAATTCTGTATTGCTCTGTTGTCTACTTTCATGATATGAGTTATAAATCTTATAAAAGGAAAATAAATGTAAGCTTTTGTCCAGATTAATATGTGAAATGTTACGCCTTGGTATAGAACAGTGTTTCCCCAACTTTTTCGACAGTGGCACATAGTAAAAAATATGTTTTAGGGGGTCTACCAGGTGGCGTGGTACTTAAGGTACTAGATTCCCACATGGCTGACCACAGTTCAATTCCCAGACCTAGTGGCTTGAAAAAAATCACAAGTAGATAGATAGATAGATAGATAGATAGATAGATAGATAGATAGATAGATAAAAAGAAGATGCTAAGTCTTAAATACATTTTAGAATTAGCTATTGAGGTGGCGGTTATGTTGACTGGATCCCACATGGCTGACAGTGGTTGGAGTCTTGGAACTGGCAGTTTTAAAAATGTGCTGAATGTTGGGACCAGCAGTTGGCGTAGTGGCTATGTCGCTGGACTTCCATGTAGTCAACTGTGGTTCGAGTCCCAGACTCGGTGGTTTAAACTCATGCCAGGCGCTTGTGAGTGCGTGCCCAAGATCCCAAGAGGAGAATGGAGGAGAAGGGATTGTGGTGTGGCCATCCCCCCTGGGGGGTGATTTCTTGCTTTCTGTCTCTCTGTCTCTGTCTTTCTGGTGAGAGCGCACACTCCCTATAGCAAAAACCTCTCAAAAAATTATTAATTTATTTATTTAAATTTGACCAGAGAGAGACAGAGTGTATGTGTGTGGACAGAGAGAGAGAGAAAGTGAGAGAAAGTGTGAAAGCAAGCCACCAGGTCTGGGACTTGAACCATGGTCACCCATGTGGGAGTCCAGCACTCTTAATCACCACACCACCTGCCGGCCCCTGTAAAGTTTCTTTCTTTCTCTTATGGGAGAGAGAGAGAGAGACAGACAGACAGACAGACGCCCTCAGCAGTGTCTTGCCATGCTTTGATCCTCTCCCTAACCCTGATTTGAACCCAAGGCTCCAAGTGGCTCCCACATCACCCAGCCATGTCCTTCTCCTGTGCTATCATGGCTAGGCTATGCCCATTTCTACAGCTCAGAAAGAGCATGAACTGCTGAAAGCAGGAGGCCTGACAGGTCTTCACTCTCTTGGCGCGGTGTCCCAGTTCATTCCTCACCCTCCGCGTGGCTCTGGAAGTAGTCACTCGCTAGTTCTGTCAAGCTGTCGTTAGTGAAATTCTTCTCCAGTGGACATTTGGCAGTGAGTGGGGACGTCTGAAATTGCCACAAGGTTGGGGTGTTACTGGCATTCGGTAGGTAGAGACCAGAGAGGCTGTCAGACATCCCAGGGCAGCCCTTCACAAGAAAGGATTTTCCGGCCCCAAATACTGCCAGTGCCAAAGCCAAGAGCCCTGGGAGGATCCAGGTGTAGACTTGTTGGTGTTCCTGTGCTTTGTAACAACGTCTTCCTTCTCTCGGGAACCTGTGCACTTCCTGTCCACGTCTGCCAGAGGCAGGTAAATGGCCTTTCTCCAAACTGCTCTCTGCCAGATCCCACCTGCATCCATACTCTGGGTGCAGCTTCTTCAGCCTAGGTCTTGGCTCAGGTGGCTCGCCTTGCCAGCCCAGGGTCTCAGTGGGTCTTTGTGCTTGTGCCTGTAGGATAGCAATTTCTTAAAATCTTGCTATTTATTACTTTTAAAATAAAACTCACTTTATAGTTGGAGTAACAAGACGATGTTGTGTATCACATACTCATTTGAACAGGAAATGTGTAACTCATTAAGATAAGTACTTTTGGGGCTGGCAGGTGGTGTGGTGGTTAAGGCAGCTGGACTCCACATGGCTAACTGCGGTTCGAGTGCCGGATCTGGCAGCTTGCTTTCTCGCTTTTCTTTTCTTTGTCTCTCTCTGGTCAACTTCAAATAAATAATAAATAAAATAATGACAATAAATACATTTTTTTAAAAAGGAAATTCTTTAAAAAAGATAACTACTTTTAAGGACACTGCTTAGTTATATACTTTTAAAACTTGTTGTTTGTTTGCTTCTAGCTCAGTATAGATTTTGAGGATGTTAGAGTGGAATGAGTTCTTTATGCAAAATATTTGTTTGTTTGCTTCTAGCTCAGTATGGATTTTTGAGGACGTTAGAGTGGAATGAGTTCTTTATGCAAAATATTCTATGGGGTGAGGCTTAGGTGGTAACTTGGACCCCAAAGTAAGACTTGTGCCAGCGTGATGATTGTAGCATGGTGAAGGAACCTGGGAATTTTGAGTTCAGAACCAGACTGTCCTCTGTTTTTAACTGCTCCGACTCCCCTCCTCCCACACACACAGATCATGCTTTGAATTGAGTGCTTTTACCATGAGAGATGATTTTTGTTCACAGTATCAATGGATATTAATGTTATGTTAAAAAGATGTTACTTTTTTTTTTTTTTTAAGGTTTTTGTCATAGGGCGCCTACAGGAGAGAGTGATGAGGAAAGTGAGAAATGCTCTTCCCAGGGAGGATGGCCATGCTGAAATCCTCCCTCCATTCTCCTCCTGGGATTTTGGGCACATATGCATATGTGCCTTGTGTGAGTTCCAAGCTGCCAGATCCGGGACTTGACTCATAGTCGGCCATGTGGGAGTCTAGTGCCTTAATCACTCACCAATTATTGGCCTCCCAAAATGTGTTTCTTTTTTTTTTTTTTTTTTTTACAATGAGGCATTTTATTTGTACGTGTGTTACATCCCTAGAAAAAGAATCCCAGGGTCCCCCACCTGTAGGTTTCTGTCTTGCCTCTTCGTGGTCCATGATGCCAGCTGAGGTGGTCAGTACAGTGAAACCAAACTGATGGATGGGAGCGGATTATTCTGCCATTTCTCCTGATCTTTGAGCTGCACATCAAATCTGGGTCTGGTCATCCCACACTTGTTTAACGTGATGGTGAGATTCATGAGAATTTTTCTAGCTCTGCGGTCATCAGTGAATTCAAGTTCGCCAAAGTAACCATGCTTCATCATCACAGGTGGAAACTGGACTGACTTTGGAGCACGGCCTAATAAGAACCTGGCGTTTGTCTCTTTTTAGCATTGCTGATGCGCTGGAGGGCGGCAGCCAGGACGTTCCTGCGCACCGTTGTGGCAGCACAGAAAGATGACGGAAAGAGCTGTGTTACTTTTTAATGTGCCTACTTCTGTGTTCACTATTCTTGGGAGATTTGGTGGAAAGACATTTAAATTCAAATCAGAGAGTCAAGTCTTTGTTCTTGTTGAGGGAGGGGAATTACCTAGACAATAAAAGACAACTAGATAGGGACCAGTAGAGGGCGTAGGGGTTACCTCTCTGGACTCCCACGTGGTCAACCAGTTAGAGTCCTGCACCCGGTGGCTTGACACTCATGCTGGGTGTGTTTGTGTGTGTACCCAAAATCCTGGGAAGAGAATGGAGGAGAAGGGATTGTGGCAAGGCCATCCTCCGTGGGGGGTGATTTCTCACTTTCCCTCTCTCTGTCTATGTCTCTCTCTCTCTCTAGCAAGTGCACATGCCCTCAGGCAAAAACCTCTACAAAAAAAAAAAAAAAGACAACTAGATAGCACATGTTCCTGGAGGGCCCAGGTTTTTCGTTACCATGGAATTTGGGGATGCTACAAAGAGACTAGTTTCCTGTTTAAAATCTCTGTTCTAAGCAGCTACCACTCTCTGACGCTCGAAGCTGATATTCAAGGTGCACGTGGCATCTGGTTTCTGATGCTCCTGTTGTGTCTTCTCTGGAAGATGTTCTCGATGTTTCTGAGTCTGAGAATCAGTGCTAACGAGGCCTAAATACGCTTCTGGATTTCATACAGACAGGACTGGATTATTTTCAGGGACTGGCTTATGATCCTTTCATTACCTCTGATTAGCTTTGGGACCTAACCCAGTTCCATACTCTATTCATTAGTCCACAGTCATATCTATAAAACTAAATAGAACCTTTCAGCTATAGCATTTTCTGCTCTATATTTTTAGTTCAGCTCCCAAGTTTATAGTCTCATGAGACATTTATGAGTCTACATTAAAATAATTTTTTTTCTTTATTCATGATAGAGCACATACACACACATGTAAGAGAGACGTGGAGGGAGAGAGAGAGATGAACCCTCTCCACAGTGTCTGGTCATGCTGCGACCTGCTTCCCCCAGTCCTCTAGCCAGAGGACTCTTGGCCACTTGTGCACATACCAGGTGTGTTTCAGGCTGACTGCACCCAGGTTTTGAACTATGGTCACCATGTGGGATTGGATCTCTCGTGAGCAGTGTGTTAACCATCACACCACGGAACTGGCCCATGAGTGACAATATTTGCACAGGTGACTGGGGTTGAAATGTGAGGCTCTGCTGATCAGGTGGCTGGGGGATGGTTGGGCATCCCAGGCCTTTACAGCAGAGGGGTGAGGGAGGTCAGCTCTGAGCATAGCAGAGACCAGCCCGATGGAGGAGCCCAGGCAGCACACTTTGAGCACAGAAGGCAGTGTGCCTTGACCTGACCTTACCCTCTAGCTGACATCCTCAATAAATGACACCCCACTCCCCACTGAAACCACCGTGCTTTCCAGTTTCAGTTCTGTGTTAGCCTGTCATTACTTTTTCGCATTAGCTGGCCATGCTACCTATACCACTTTAAAAACTCACAATGGTGGGGCCAGCAGGTGGCATAGTGGTTACATTGCTGGACTTTCACATGGCCTACCACAGTTCAAATCCCGGACCTGGTGACTTGAAAATCATACTGGGTACATATGTATGTGTGCCTAAGATTCCAGGAGGAGAATGGAGGAAAAGGGATGGTAGTGCAGCCATGCCTCCTGTCGGGGGTGATTTCTTACTTCCCCTCTCACTGTCTCTGCCTCTGTCTCTGGCAAGCACACACACCCTATGGCAAAAACTTCTTAAAAAAAAATCACTATGGTTTCGGGGCCAACAGGTGGCAGGGAGATTAAGGCTCTGAATCCCACATGGCCAAATGAAGTTTAGGTCTCAGATCCAGCAGCTTGAAAATCATGCTGGGTGTGAATGCATGTGTGCCAAAGTCCTGAGAGGAGAATGGAGGAGAGGGAATTGCAGTATGGCCATCTCACTATCTCTCTCTCTCCCTGGCGGGTGCATGCGCCCTATAGTAAAAACAAAAAACAACCTACCCCCCAAAAAAGCACTGTGATTTTAATCTACTATCCCTAAAAGCTGAGTGTCATCTTTCTCTAAGACTTTGTACTTGGCTCATTCTTCTCTCCTTGATGGAAGTATGACTTTCACTTCTTCGCTGACATGACCCCTACCTCTTGGTTCATTCCCATTCACACTTCTTTTTAAGTTTTTTGCCATAGGGTGCATGGACTCACTGGAGAGAGACAGAGACAGTGAGAAGGAAAGTGAAAAATCACCTCCCATTGTGTGATGGTCAAGCTGTGGTCCCTCCTCCTCCATTCTCTTTCTGGAATTTGGGCACATATGCATATGTGCCTGATGTGATTTTCAAGCTTCCAGGTCTGGGACTCGAACTGTGCTTGGCCATGTGGGAGTCTACCACCTTAACTACTCTACTACCTACTGGCCCCATCCCCATTCATATTTAACAAAAGTAATTTCCTTCTCTGGCTAACATAATTGTAATTTAATTTCATTTTCAATGAGTGAATGAAATTGTTATAATTTTTAAAAAGTAATTATTTAATTTATTTATTCATTTATTTTAATTTGACCAGAGAGAGGCACACACAAAAGGAGAGTGAGAAAGTAAGCCACAAGCCACCGGATCTGGGACTTGAACCATGTTCAACCACATGGGAGTGTCCAACACTTTAACACCACCATGCCACCAGCTGTCCCTGGTTGTTGTAATTTGTGTGTGTGTGTGTGTGTGTGTGTGTGTGTGTGTGTGTGTATGTGTTTTCTCTTTTTTTTCTTTCTTTTTTCTTCAGAGACAGATTTTTGCTGTAGGGTATGGGCACTCTCTGGAGAGACAGACAGAAAATGAGAAATCACCCTCCGGGGGGATGGCCATGCCAGAATCCCTTCTCCATTCTCCTCTGGGGGTTTGGGGCACACATGTACATGCGCCCAGACTGACTTTTAAGCCACCAGGTCTGGGATTCAAACTGCAGTTGACTACGTGGGAGTCCAGCCACATAACCATTATGCCATCTGCTGGTCCCATGGTTGTTGTCATTTTATAAAGGGAAGTGGGGGTTCTTAAAGTATCATGAAGACAAATTCAGAGTCGGGCAACTCAATTCTGAAACCACACAAACTTTCAAGAACATGTTAAATGCTAACTTTCCGAACATTTCCTTTGTAGGTGGAAAAACTGGTGGATTCGTGGAATTCTTACTCTGACTATGATTTCGTTGTTTTTCCTGATCATCTATATGGGATCCTTTATGCTGATGCTTCTTGTAAGTGTCTCACATTTCTCTAAGTGTCTCTTGATTTATTTTTCAGCATTATAGAAGATTGAAGTAATCTGAGTGTGTCATAAAAAAGGTAATAAAGAACTGGAGACAACAAATTAGTTCTTCAAGAGTCTTCAAGTTCGTGAAATGATCTGGATTAATCTTTTCTATTTGCAAAAGGGCTGTTCATGTGTTCATTCAGCAGAAACCAAGCATGAAAGACCCTGTGCTAAGCATTAGGATCTGACAGAAATGCACACATACTCATGCCAGCCCATGGGGTGGTGGTGAAGGCAGCTGATCCCACATGGCTAAGTGCGTGGTTCAAGTCCCACACTCAACAGCTTGAGACACGTGCTGTTTGAGTGTTTGTGTGTCCAAAATTCCATCTCTGTTCATTCAGCCTTTTCACAGTCACCACTCTCTGGTTCTCTGGCTACTCTCGTGTCTACCCATCTGACCTATCTCCCTCCTCCACATCTAGTCCTAGTCATAGCTGCAAAGCTTATGGGCAATGTGGTATGCTGTTCCTTTGATTTAAAAAATTAGTTTTGGAGACCAGCAGTTAGCATAATGGCTATGTCGCTGGACTCCCATGTAGTCAACCATGATTCGAATCCTGGACTCGGTGGCTTAAACTCACACCGGGCGCATGTGCATGCATGCCCAAGATCCTGAGAGGAGAATGTTGGAGAAGGGATTGCGGCATGGCCACCACCCCTGGTGGGTGATTTCTTGCTTTCTAACTCTCTGTCTCTCTCAGTCTCTGGCAAGTACACACACCCTATGGCAAAAAAACTCTCAAAAAAAAAATTAGTTTTGAAGTGAAATTAGACACAGTTGAAAAAACAATCCCATTAACTCCTAAAACTGCTAAAGCACCTTCTGTAAGTTCTGCAAACTCTTCTTTGTTTTCCTTTTGATTCTCTCATTGATTTTTTTTTTTTTTTTTTTTTTTAGGGGGGTTTTTTAGGACAGCGAGATAATGAGAATGAAATGAAAAATTACTTTTCTGTTATTTTAACTTGCTGACTTCTTTACCAAGGAAACATGGGTAACAGCTAGGACAGACTTAACGTGGATGCAGAGGATGCCGAGTTGAAAGCCAGATGGGCAGGCCTGGGTGTGGCCCAGGTGTCATTCCAAGGGCCTACAGCTCCCAGTCTTCTTGGGCTCAGAACCTGCGGATGGTGAAGATGACCACGCCTGTCCTTGGGACGTGGACTTTACACTTTTCAGTGCCGTGTGATGAGTGGCAGACATGGAGAAGAGGAAACAAATGATTGAGGCAGGGAGCTCGGTGACGCTGTGTGAGTGAAGGGACGCATGTGAGACTTGGAGCACGCTGTCAGGGTGGCGGAGCCCTGTGAGCAAAAGTCCAGATGGCAGCGTGTGTCTGAATAGGTGCTGTTCCTTGAGCACAGGGCTTTTGGATCTGGAAAAATAGAGATCGCATTCCGGAGGGCCTTGCAGTGCTATATGTAGAAGTTTAGTTTTGTTTTTTTTGCCTGAAGGCATGTGGACCCACGAGCTTTGGATCTGGAAAAATAGAGATTGCATTCCGGAGGGCCTTGCAGTGCCATATGTAGAAGTTTAGTTTTGTTTTTTTGCCTGAAGGCATGTGGACCCACGAGAGAGAGAGAGAGAGAGAGAGAACCCTGCCCCAGTGCGGGATGGTCACACTGTAATCCCTTCTCCATTTCTCCTTCCTGTCGAGTTTCTGGGCACCCATGTGTGTTCACTAGGTTGACGTGTTTTTCAAATCTCCAGGGCTGGAATTCAAGCTTCAAGTTGGCCATGTGGGATCGAGCTTCCTTAACTAGTAGGCCATGTGGTTGGATTTATTTGGAAAGTAGTAAGGAGTCACTGAACATATTGGGGATAATTTGAGTTATCATTCCCCTTTAGAAGGAAATTTTGTTGTAAGGTATTACAAAGTACGAGGGTTCTGGATATGCCGACTTAGGCTGCGCTGGCGAACACTCCATTAGTAAAGTACATTTCTCTCCAGACTAAACTGTTGAGTATGGTGACTAGGGCAAGAATTTTGTGGATAAATACTATTTTAAAGCACTTTTATATGATAAAATCGAAAGACAGGCAAGCATATGTGGATTTGAATTTTAAAAAATGTTTTCCTTATTCCTATTTTTTTCTTTATCCACTGCAGAGCACATGCCCATACAAATGGAAGAGAGGAAGACCCTCTGCGGGTCTGGTCACACCACAACCCCAGCCTCAAGTACATTAGACTTGGGGCACTCACGTTTGTGTCCAGTGTGTTTTCAGGTGGATAGAGGTGGGATTTGAACTGCAGTTGCCATGTGGGATCTGGCTTCTTTCTTTCTGTCTTCGCTTGCCTGCTATAGGACACCTTCACTTGCCAGAGAGAGAGAAAGTGAGAAATCTCTGGGGGATAGCTACGCCACAGTCCCTTCTCTCTTCTCCTCTCAGGATTTTGGGTCTGATCACACATGTGCCTGGCATGATTCTCAAGCCACCAGTTCCAGGACTCGAACCTTAAGTCAGCCATGTGGGAGACCAGCACCTCAAACACTGCACTAATTTATGGCCCCCCATATTTACTATTTCTAGGTATGTGATTGGACATTAGTAGATATAATGGAGAAAATCAGTTAAAGAATATCCAACATAGAGAATTTAGGAAAGCTAACTTGTGGAAACCTTAAAAAGAAATCCCGGGACCAGCAGATGGTGTAATGGCTATGTCGCTGGACTCCCATGTCGTTGGCTGTGATTTGAGTCTTGGACCTGGTGGCTTGAAAACTCACACCAGGTGTGTGTGCGTGCGTGCCCACAATCCGGAGAGGAGAATGGAGGAGAAGGAATTGTGACATGGCCATCCTCCCTGGGGGTGATTTCTGGCCTTCTGTCTCTCTGTCTCTGTCTTTCTGGTGAGCACACGCACCCTATAGCAGATAAAAAAAAATTCCAAAGCATATCCTCAAGAACTTTGGTACACTTTCTCAGTAAAGGACTAGATAGTAATATTTTAGGCTTTCATAAGTCACACGTGATTCTGTCAGGTAGTCTGAGTTTTTAAAACTCCTTAAAATATAGAACTTCATTCTTATCTGGAGGGTTATAGAAAATTAAGCCCTTGAGAATGCTCTCTCGAGGATTAGAAGTCAGTCAAGTATATTCACAAAGATTGTAGCCTCCCAGTGCATTACAGTAAGTGTTCAGATTGCCATTTGCTCTCTGAGCCTTGGAATTGACTTAAGCCAAGCACTAGCTGCACCTTGAGGAATTCCACCCACACGGGTGGATACAGCAGAGTGAAGGACCACGAAACTGACCATCCAGAAAGGATTGATGGGCCTGGTCTCAGTGGTGCAGATAGTAGCATACTGATCTGCAGAGCTGGCAGCCACATGGCCAGCTGCGTGTTCAGATCCAGAGTTGAAACTCGATGGCAGAAGGAGAGATCGTGGTGTGACCAGACCCTGTCAAAGGTACCTGTCTCTCTCCCGCTCTCTTTCTCACTTTTTCTGCTGACTCTCTCACTGTATCATAAAAGAAATTAAATACATGTAAGAAGAAGGAAGGGGGCCTCATAAATGTGGATTCATTGGGGATCCAGCTGGTGGTGTGTGGTTAAGGATGACTGCAGTTTGAGTCTTGGACCTGGTGGCTTAAAAATATATACCGGGCATGTGTATGCCCAAGATCCTGAGAGGAGTGTGAAGGAGAAGGAATTGTGGTGGGACCGTCTCCTTGAGGGGTGATTTTGCATTTCCCTTCTCTCTGTATCTCTCTGTCTCTTTCCTCTGGCAAGTGCATGAGCCCTATGGCAAAAACCTAAAAAAAACAAAACAAAACAAAAATGGACTCATTGACTAGGCATGTATTTAGGACACTGTGCAATCAGAATTGTATAGCCTTAGGTGACTGGCCAAAGTGTTTGCAAATGGAAGAGGCTATTAATATTTAGAACTTGCCACAGTAGCACAGCTTAGTTTGACCAGAGGTGTAGCTGGCTGTGGGAGAGTTGGCACAGCTGGGAGGATGAAAAACTGCCCAGTTCCTGGCTGGTCGGGTGACAAGTTTTAACTCTTTGTCTTGGTCGTGTCCTTTGCCAAGTGTATGTGATAGGAAGTACAGTTAGACATACATGAAAGCGGGACCAGCAGTTAGCGTAATGGCTATGTCGCTGAACTCCCACGTAGTCGACCGCAGTTCGAGTCCTGGACCCGGTGGTTTAAACTCACACTGGGCGCATGTGCGTGCCAGGATCCTGAGAGGAGAAGGGATTGCGGCGTGGCCCTCCCTCTTGGGGGGTGATTTCTTGCTTTCTGTCTTTTTGTCTCTCTCTGTCTTTCTGGTGAGCGCACACACCCTATAGCAAACAAACAAACAAAAAACAAAAACAATCTCTCCCAAAAAAAAAAAAAAAAAGAAATACATGAAAGCGAACTTTCATATGTGCTCATTTTCCCAGGGTAGCTTGAGACAAAGAGGGCAAATTGGACTAAAGAGTCTCTATCTTTCAAAGGATAATCTCAAGAATGTAGTACTAATGAGAGAGAAAATGTAGTCAATGGTGACCAAGACTGTGTCTCTCAAACAATAAACTCCAGGAGCTGATAGAAGGCGTGGTGGTTAAAGGTGCTGGATTCCCACATGGCCAATGGCAGTTTGAATCCCAGACCTGGCAACTTGCTTTCTCCCTTTTCTTTTCTCTCTCTCTCTCCGGTCAAATTAAAAAATAATAATAACAAACGGAATTAAATAAATAAATCTTCAAAAAAACAACAACCCAAACTATAAACTTCAATGCCATCTCCCACCCTGAAAAACATCTCTTAAATGTTCTCAATAAAACATCATTTAATAGACCCTTTGGGACGTCACTTGATTTTACAGACATTGGATAGTGGATTTTTGCTACTGACATTTAGAATATTAAAAATTGGTAGATTAATATTATTAAATACATACAACAGGAAACACCTTTGTTAAATGTAAATATTGAGAAATGCATGTTCACGTTTTCTTTTGGTTTCAGGTTCTTGGCATCCAAGTGAAATGCTTCCATGAAATTATCACTATTGGTTACAGAGTCTATCACTCTTACGACCTGCCATGGTTCAGGACACTAAGCTGGTAAGTAAATGTGAAACCATCTCAGGTATGAAAGTCAGATTCCTTTCCAATGTTTATAAGAAGCGTCTTGATCAGTCAGTATCCACACAGTGGGGGCTGGCAGGTGGCATGGTGGTTAAGGTTCTGTACTCCCACGTGGTCTACCATGGTTCGAGTCTTGGACCTTGTGGCTGGCTCTTTTACTTTCTTTCTCACTCTCCTTCTTTCATGAAAATTTAAAAATTAATATAACAAATAAAATTAAATAATAATATATTTTTTAAAATTCACAGTTTACCATATAAATTGATTTTTGGAAGAAACAGAAATCAAAAGAATTATAACTAAATTTTAATTTTGAAAAAGAAAATCACCTGTAACTCTGCCACTCCAAGTTTTTTCATACCTTACATTTTAGTCATTATAGAGATATCTGAATTATTTTGAATACACACACACACACACACACACGCACTTGTTGGCTTGGTGGGTGAGGATAGGCCTTGGTCACCTTACGAAGGAGTCACAGTTTCCACTGTAAGACAGCAGAGACATGGTAGAACAGTGGGTGGAAGTGAGGTAACTTGCCCTTGACTTTGGGAATGGCGGGGCCTAATTCTGTCCATGAGGGAAACTCCCTCTTCAGGCTAGCTAGGACTCTGTCCTTCAGAGGACGAGGCTCAGAACTCCAAGGCGTCCAGTGTTTCTGAGCTCTTCACCTGGCTCACACAGCCCCGACAGTGAAATCTCTTCCTTGGGAAGGGATAGATGATGTGTGTGGTTTTTAGAGGTTTTCCTGAGAGATTTTTACCTGCTTCTAGCTCCCACCCACCCACCTGCAATCCAAGAATCCCTGCTCCACCGGAATCCATCTGGGGCATTGAGAAGAGGGGAGGAAGACACCGCTATGATGGGGCAGTGGAGAGAGATGGGGCGACCTCTTCCATTTTTCCCTCTTCATTATCCTTAGGACAGGGGGAACGTCTTAGGATCTCAATAATTGATATCATGAGAACTGTGCTTAGTTGGGAATTAGTTTACATTATGGACTTCATACTAATTATTTTTAAATTACAGGTACTTTCTACTGTGTGTAAACTACTTTTTCTATGGAGAGACTGTAGCCGATTATTTTGCTACATTTGTTCAAAGAGAAGAACAGCTGCAGTTCCTCATTCGCTACCATAGATTTATATCATTTGCCCTCTATCTGGCAGGTAAGTTAAGGCGATGTCTTGTATTGAAATGTAGCTAATGTGCTTTTCATGTTTATTTTAATGTATGTTATTTGAATTGATAGCCTCATTTTATTTGTCACATTTTACATACATTTTATCCCAGTCTCTTTTTAATGATTTCTTATGTTTAAAGCTATTCCTTTCATCATGATCTTAAATAGCAGTAATTCCCTAATAGTGGTTTAAAAACACACATGAGGGGCCAGCAGGTGGAATGGTGGTTAAGGCGCTGGACTCCCACATGGTTGACAGCAGTCTGAGTCTTGGACCGGAGGCTTGAAAATCATGCCAGGCACATGTACACGTGTGCCCAAAATCTCAAGAGGAGAATGTAGGACAAAGGATTGCGACGTGGCCATCTCTCTGGTGGGTGATTTTTTTCACTTTTCCTCTCACCATCCCTCTGTCTCTCTACAGCTAGTACATGTGCCCTATGACAAAACAAAAAGCAAAGCAAAACAAACCAACCACACAGACAGAAAACAACAAAGCTTGAATAATAAAGCCTCCTTACATCAATATTTGGAGGTATCCTGTGAATATTAAAGTAAGGAAACTTAAATATACAATGATTTCATTTTGTTTTGTTTTGTTTTGTTTTTTAATTCCAGAGAGTACATGTGATTGTGAGGGGAGAAGTCATCCCCCAATGGGGCATAGTCCCACCACTGTCCCTTCTCCATCTCTCCATCTTTTCAAGAGTTTGAGTATGCCCCCCCCCGACACACACACACATACCTAGTGTGTTTTCAAGCCACCAAACTGGATTCGAACCATGGCCAGACATGAGGGATGCCTCCTTTTACCTCCTCGCTATGGGGATGACTCTGCAGCGATTATTGTGTGTGTGGTCACGTATATATTGCTTTATTTGTCCCTAGGAAATAGAGGTTCTTATAGAATTAATCAGGAGAATTTTTATTACTTAGTTTTTAATACGAAGGAATTTAAAAAGCTCATGGAAAAAGGGAATTAAAATGTGGGTTTATTTAGGTGCAAAAATATTTTAACTCATACATAGTTTTCTTGTAATACATTATATTCCAGGAAAAAAAAATACAGACAGACAGACACACACACACACACACACACACACACACATACACGCATATATAATTATTTTGCTACAGGGCGTGTGTGCTTACCAGAGAGACAGAGATGGAAAATGAGAAATCACCCCCTGGGGGAATGGTCATGCTGCAATCCCTTCTCCTCTATCCCCCTCTCAGGATTTTGGGCATACATGCACACATGCCCGGTATGAATTTAGGCACACATGCCGGGTATGATTTTTAAAGCCACTGAGTCTGGGACTTGAACCATGTTCAGTTATGCGGGAGCCCAGTGATGTAACCATTATGCCATCTGCTGGTCCTTCCAGGAAGATTTTTGAAGACCTTTTGTATATGCAACCTGGGAATATATTCTTAGAAATAGCTATTGGGGACCAGCAGTTAGTGTAATGGCTATGTTGCTGGACTCCCATGTAGTTGACTGCGGTTCGCGTCCTGGCCGGTGGCTTAAAACTCACACTGGGTGCGTGTGCGTGCGTGCCCAAGATCGCGAGAGGAGAACAGAGGAGAAGGGATTGTGGTGTGGCCATTCCCCCTGGGGGGGTGATTTCTCGCTTTCTGTCTCTCTGTCTCTCTCTTTCTGTCTGGTGAGCGCACGCGCCCTATAGCAAAACCCTCTCTCTCAAAAAAAAAATAGCTATTAAAAATATTAAAATATTTGTATTATTTCAAGGGCAAAACTGTTAATTCAGAAGTAATCAGTTCATTTTGAATTTTAATCAGCTGAAGGGTTATTATAGGGAAATTGATTGATAACAGCTAAGAAGATTGTACTAAAGTTTTGAAGGATAAAATAAGACTGACTCTGGGTTTATTAAAATAAGACTGACTCTGGGTTTATCAAAGCACATCTGTGCATTCTGTTTTGTTCAGAGAGGCTGACTATTTTTTCTCACATATCAAGCCAACAAGCCTAATTTATTCTGTTATATGTAAGGTAGATGCTGGGTGGATTCTTTCTGGTTACAAGAGAGAACACTGTCTCTTCTCAGTTTATGTTCAAAGTGGCAGGACTTTTTTTTTTTTTCCATTTTAGAATGTTAGTAATAATATTAGCAAAGAAAGTATCTGTAGTCATTTCTTTATAGAACTCAACAATTTTACTTTATTTCATGTGATTTTTCATATGATGATTTCTTAACTTATTTGAGACTTTTATATCTTTTTGACTTCCTGTTATAACCTCTCACTTCTCCATCCTTGGTTTCTTATAGTCATTGTTTACACTATTAAATAGGTACCTAAAATATCACTTCCTGTGGAGCCAAAATGGCTATGATTCATTTCCATTATTTTGTAACTTTTTATTTTTCCCGAACTGAACAACTACCTCATTCTTGTTTTGCTTTGCTTGCTTGCTTGCTTTCTTCCTTTCTTTCTTTCTTTTTAATTTGCTATAGGGTGTTTGCATTTACCAGAGCAAGACAGAGGCAGAGAGAGAGAAAGTGAACAGATGCCCACAAGGGGGGATGGCCATGCTGCAGCCCCTTCTCCTCCACTGTCCTCTCAGGATTCGTGCACAAACTCACATGTATCCAGAATGTTTTTCAAATCACCAAGTTTGAGACTTGAACTGTGCAGTTGGCCATGTGGAATCCAGCTCCCTTAACCACTACGCCACCTGGTTGGCCCACATGGTTTTTCTTTTTTACATTTGTAAATTTCAGTGTAGAAATCTTTAGTCTTTATCTCAGCTCTGTCCCATGTCTATAAGTAGTTTTCTCTAGTGTTCACATAGTTCAGATACTGCATCACTTCCCCTTTTCTTGGAGACCTTCGACCCGGAGACCTCCTCATTCTAGTTCCCATTGGAACTGGCTACTGTGGGCTCACTGCCTTTCTGTCTGCATGAGTTGGGTCCCTTATTTTTTCTGTCCCATATTCCCCAGCTTCCTGGCGAATACCTTCACCTTACTGAAGTGTGGCCTGCGTTAGTTGCCTATGAAGGTAAATGTTTCTTGTTTTTTAATATTAGGGGGAAGGTGCACTCGTGAGACAGAGACAGAGAAACAGAAAGAGGGAAACAGAGAAAGCAGCCCCCAGCGGATCCTGGTCATACTGCAGTCTTTTTTTCCCTCTGATTCCCTATCCCATCAGAATCCTGTACATACACATGGCATGTTGCCACTAGGGGGAGGATTCGAATCCTGGTCAGCCATGTGGAATTGGCTTCTTCTGCATAGCACTTAACCACTGCCCTGTGGGGCGGGCCTAAAAATATCTTTATTCGCACAGTCGATTGCTTTGACTAGGGCTTGCACCTAGTGCTGTTAGACCTTGCCCTGCTACCCCAGTTTAGAAGCCCAGGCCCCACCGATGCCTTCCCTGATCCTTTCTGTCAGTTTCTCTAGACAACACCTTTAGCCACCTCCAGTGTCTCAGGTCTTCTGAAAGTTCCCCATCTGTTCTCCAGCTTCCATATTTTTCAGACATTTGGTTTTCTTCTCCTGGAGATTTCTTTAATTCTCTTTCCCCCTCATGAGTTGTCACTTTGATTTCTGTTAATTTTATTTATGGGATACTAGAATGGAATACAAGAAAATGTACTCTGGCCAAGAGGTGGTGTGGTAGTTAAGGCACCGAACTCCCACATGGCTGATTGCAGTTTGAGTCCCGGACCTAGTGGCTTACATTATTGCCTTCCCTTTCTCTCTTTCTCTCTGTCTCTCTCTGGTCAGATCAAAAATGAATAACAAGTGGAATTAAATAAATAAATAATTAAAAGAAAAAAAAAAAGAACAAAATCAAGCTGCCACTTTAAAACAAACCACTAGCCAGTATTTGTCACCCTCCCTCTTAGTTTAACATAACACTATCATTTTCTTTTTTTTTTCTTTAAATGTGCCAGAGGGCATGTGTGCTCACCAGAGAGAGACAGAGAGAGAGAGAGAGGGAAAGTGAGAAAACACCCTTCATAGGACATGATCACACCTCAATCCCTTCTCCATCTCTCCATTCTCTTGGGATATGGGGCATATATGCCCATGTACCTTGCATGTTTATCAAGCCACCAGGTTCAGGACTCGATCTATGTAGTCAACCTTGTGGGATTTAGCCACCTAGACCGATGAGAGGTCTGCTGCTAGCCTGATGGGATGAGCTTTGTAGATAACTTGACGTTTCTCTCTTGCCAATCTTAGTATCCTGTCTTTGTCTGTGGTTTTGGTCAATCTGGCTATAATGTGTCTTAAAGAAGATCTTCTTCTGTTTGGGGTCCTTTATATTTCTTGGGTCTGGATCTTTGAACACCTCTTTAGATTTGGAAAGTTTTCTTCCAGGATTTCATGGACTAGGTTATCAATGTCCTTACTAGTCTCTTCACCTGGGATGCCAGTTATATGGATGTTTACATGTTTAATGGTATCTAGTGTTTCTTGTATATTTTTCTCATTTTGGGGGGTTATTTTCTGTCTTTGTGGTGAATTTTTCTAGCCCAGCGACTCTGTCTTCTACATCTGAAATTCAATTTTCTGTATGATCTAGTCTGCTTTTTATACTTTCAAGGGAGGTTTTAAGTTCCGGTATTATAGCCTTCATCTTTAACAGTTCTATTTGATTCTTTTTTATGTGTGTACTTCCTCTTTCAGATCATGCAAGAACTTCCTCACCTCTTGGAACTTGTCAGCTCTTTTCTAGAGTTCATTGTCTCTCTTGTCTTGCATCTCTTTTAGCTCTGTTACTAAGAATACTCTAAATTCTTTATCAGGCATTTCTGTGAGTTCCATTGTACTGTCTGTGGATGAAGAGGAGTTATTTTTTTTCCCTTGGGGGAGAGGTATTTTCTTGGTTTCTCATTTCTTGTGCCACTGTGTAGATTTCTAGTCATCTGATTGGTTATTCATTTCTTCCTAATTTCTAGAAGTTCAATCTGAGTATTCAGAGGTATGCAGGAGGAGGTGATCTGCAAACTCTTTGCCGTTCTGTTTTCCTCTAGGGGGCTCTACCAGGGTGAATTCTCAGCAAAAAATCTTCATTTCTCTTATTCTCTGAGAGCACTAGTTCTCAGCTTCTATGGAGGACTCAGTCTTCTTCTCTCAGTGTTTTTCTTTAAAAATAATATTGAGTGAGCCAGCAAGTGGCATGGTGGTTAAGGCAGTGGACTTCTACATGGCCAACTGTGGTTCAAGGACAGAGAGAGACAGAGAAACAGAAAGTAAGAAATCACCCCCCAGGGGGGATGGCCACACCACAATCCCTTCTCCTCC